TTCAACATTTTTTTTTTTTTTTTCAGGGTGTAGGTCTGTTGAACATTCGATTACAGTGTACAATAAAACATCGGAGAAAATCCGCGTATTATATTTATTTGATATATTTTCATCCTCGTCGTTGTATCTCAGAATTTATATTGTTTTTATTGCCGTTATTAGTTTTATATAAGCGCAGTGGCATTAAAAATTCGTATTGAACGTTTTTTGTTGGGTTTTTGAATTTAAAAAAAAAAAAATAGTACAAAATAAATAATCCAGATATTATTTACTTAATTACACTTACGTGTCTTCCACCGTAAAAAATAATTCGTATTGTTGAATAAATCCTCAGCGTGAATGATGCATGTGTATTATTGTGCAATGCATATTATGAAACAACTAACAAAGGTGTATTATAGCAGATACCAAAATGAAAATAATATAATTTACTAAATTTGGATGGTAAAAAATGCTCGTTTATGAAGATATTGTTTTTTTTTTTATTACTTTGTAATTGTCATGGATTCAAACACATTTCAAATCAAATTAGGTTTAATCTAGTTAGTTAAATGTTTGGAAGTGACTATTAAAGTAATTATCGTTTTGTTGTTTTAGTTGGTTGCAACTTATAATGTCTGTTCACTAATGTCAAGTTGTATTATAATGCCATTACGAGTTTTTATTGTCAAAATTTGGTTTTGGTAAATTGTTATATACACGGACATTAGAAACTTAATGGAGTGTTTCAGAAAATATAGACAGAAATCCATAAATTGAAAACTATAGAGTACAATATGTTTCACAAACATTACTAATTACAATATTAAATTGTTAATATACATATTTATGAGTTGATTTTTTTTTTGATTCATATTTTAATATTTAATAAGTAACTATACATACCAAAATGATTCATTCTATTTAGTTTATATGCTTCAGTTCAACGTTCGTTGGGGATGATGAAAATATAATATTTGGAAAACCATACTATGTAATATAAATAATATATAATATGTATTAATAAACTACCTAGACATGCAATACAATATGTGGTAAGAGTATATAAATTTAATGAAGGTACGGAATTATAATTTTTTTAGTAAATTCTATAACAACATTGCATTATAATAGGGTTAAGTAATAAGTATATATGTAGATTCACGAAGGTGGAAAAAATATTAATTTTTTCTGTAAACTTAAAAGGATTTTATTATTAGATTGCTCCATAAAATAATAATAAAAAAAAAATAATAATTCTCTTAAAGTCAATCTTCTACGGAACGTAATATAATAGATTTTTTCATGAAATATTTTTAAAATTAAAATCGACGAGCAGCGCATAAAAGATTATTTGATTTTTTTTTAACTGAAACGTATGTGTATAGAATATACATGCAATAAAATCGTAGGTATGTATTGTAGTAGCAGTAGCGTAATACATTTCAAAAAAGAGAAATATTTTCCGGCAACTTAAACATTAGTTGATCGATTGGACGATCGGTGATCAGACTATAGGTTTCTGAAATTGACTTTCGACCAGTCTATTATATTCGCGGTATACAGGAAAAACGATAGTACCGTAAGTTATAAACGTCTGTAAATTACAAAACTTTCAAAGTCTTACAAGTTAGATTAATATATTTAAGCGACAAGCGTTGTTCCATGTTATATTTTATTATGTACCTTGGCAGTTTATAGAAAAGCAGAAACATTTTCGAAATCATAGAGCGTAATATTATGACATTAATGTAGAGTATGAAAAAACACATTTTATGTGTGCATATTGTAATTATATTTTTAATCCGAGACATTGTATAGTAAAAATCATACGTAGGGTCATATACTATTTTCTATAGTGTGTAATGCAGTGTATCTAAAGCGTGTAAGTCAATTGACCCTTAAATTAAATAGTTATAGAAGAGCGAAATTTAAAATTCGAAAACATTAAAATGCAGCAATAAAAACATAATAACGCAAAAATGTGCTCATCAAAATCGGGCAGTGCCATAATGTCCGGTAAACGTACACTGCATTGCCCGATAAAATCCACCTGGCACATACGCATCTCGTGTCCATCCTACACAATATTATAAATTCGTCGTTTGCGTGTGAAATCTTCTTCGTTAAGCGACGAATCGAACGCGATGATCAAACATCCGAAAAAAGAAACCTTATTAATTTATTGATTCAATAATAATAGACCTTCGTGTGAGCCTGCAACGTGTGGCACCATTGTACTAGGAATAAAAAAGGCCACACAATCTCTCGACCGTCGTCGTCGTCACCACTCTGTCTTTATTTTCTGGATCTGGCCATGTGTGTAACAGGCTCGATCGATTTATCCTCATTTCACTAAAATATGAGACATGTGTCGAGGTCGTATGTGTGTGTGTGTGTGTGTGTGTGTGTGTGTGTGTGTGAAAATGTTTACTGAACGCTAGTCAAAAATGTTGCACGCGTGTCATCGTCGGACGGGCATAGACTATATAGGCAAGTGAACTATCGTGTAATGTTGACGTGACGTGCTGTTTATGGCTTTATGGCACTTATGTACTCGTATTTTATGTGATGGACCAGGTTTTTGGTCGTGAGTTTTACCGAAAACACCGTTGAAAATAACGACTGTTATCGATGCGCGTTCAATCGATTACGGGTGTGTGAATTGAAACGTCGTAACTTTTTTCAGAGTTTCGAATTGATATCCGAATTGTCAGTGAATTGATATTACTATTTTTATTTCGCTTAAAAATAAAAAAAAAATTAAAACGTTGTTTTGACATTCGATAAGGTTTTAGCGATGGGGGGAAAAACTTTATAATATTTTTAATGGGTCATTTTGACTTTTGAAAACCTATCTGAATTGTAAATTTCCGAAGGAAACGTTTTACTTGATTGCCTTGTCAAAAATGTGACTTTCTGCCAACCACAGTTGTGTTAATGTAAAAGAAAAGTACTCAAAAAGTTTAACTACAAAAACTATATCCCTTCAATTCAAAGAAGAAATGTATGAATGCAATCACAAGCACGTTGTTTGAGTACGTTTTTGATATACATACATGCCACATGTGAGATGGAACAAAGTAAACATTATTATTGAAATAATGTGGTACAATACGATATAATATTCCTAGGTAAATTTTTTTTCTTGTCATCATATTTTTTTTGAAAACCTCTGGAAAGTTGTCTGCTCGGTGTAGGTACTTGTAAATGAAAAAAAAAAACGATTCTCGTCTAACATTTAATCAACGCATGGCAGTTCTTATTGAATTTGAAAGCTAATACCGTTGCTGCTCAGCAAATTAATCAAATACGATCACTAATTCTGATTGAGTCAAATTTCTTAGAATTGTTGTCGATTGTGAAGCTTCTAACTACCAATAAATGGTGTTCAAAACAACCGTTTTTTGTATACGATTAACCAACACGATATCGTTTAGTTCTAATCATCGTTTGATTGAACGGCGTCCAATATATTTTACCTGACGTTTCTAATAATTACAAGAATAGAATTTAGAAATATTAAAACGTGTAATTATAATTACATTTGTATTTTATTTATTTCTTGATCTAACGAATATCAGTTAGTGATATAATAAAAACTAGCAAGTAACTACATCATAAGAAAGTTTGATTTAGAAATAACTATTAGAACGCTTCATGTTTTTAATTTCAAAACTTAAATACCAAACAGAAGAAGACTGGAAAGTTTCGATGAATATGGCTACCAAAGTTTGAACAACGTCGGTACCTAATCGATTTTACGGGTTATGTGTTTCTTTCTTTGGCTTAGTTATATTTTTCCAAGTACCTACAGTTTACAATAATAAACGTAAATTGTTTCCAATTCTTTTATCTTTAACTCGTTTCTCAGACGATTTCCACGAAAATTTTAAGGAATAACTCTTATAGAGTTGTATCAATTAATTAACCGAATGTCAAGTGTATGTCGTCGATCGGAGACATTACTTATAAATGTACCTACTTAATAGTCCAACAGCGTCATGATGTAAATGATACTTAAATTTCGAATTTCAATTTTGCCAACCGATAAAGTAACTGTATATTATGACATTATTTAATCAATAGCTATATCAACTTATATGTATATAATATCATGATAAATCCATTGTTGTTCCGACATCTGTTCATCTAACACTTTATCGGCGTTTGCCACGACGAACGCAACCGGCACTAATCGAATTTTTAAAACAGCCATAAACATCGTGCCCTAAACAGTAAGTATAACGAATAAAATACAGTTAATTGGTGCGCACGAACCATTTTAAAATAAAATACTGTTATACTGACTACAATATACGCTTTGGACCGAAATACTACTATTGGGATCTATTTTTTCTACATGCCCGATTTTTCGTGCTCTATTCGCTTTCCCTTTTTATTACACTGTGGTATACAATAACGATAACATTAGACCACTTTTCGATTTAATCCTCTCGTACCCGACCCACCGACCAATTCTGTTCACTGGTTCCTTTACCTACGTGCTTTTATCGACGTTTATACCTTGACATTACGTGTTTGTTTCATTCTATACACACACTTACACACGCGCGAGTGTGCAAATCAAATCAATATTTACCTTATTGCCCGTTGTTTAAGCGTTGTCGAATAATATAATTATACGATTATGCAATCATCCGGATGACGCACGACGTGATGAAACCGAACAAAACGCGATCATTTAAATACCGTCAGATCAATAAACATAGAATATAATACATATAAATTCGGTTTTATGGAAAATGTCTTGGAGGAAATTGCGACGAAGGTTTCGAAATGTGTTTTATATGGTAGCAATAATGATGATAATAATAATAATAATACCATTGCAGTAGGTTGGTTCCGGTATTTGACGTGATGAATTATTTTGAGCTTCCATTGATTGATAACAATAATCTTACAGATAATAGGTAAAACAAATACTGTACCTAGTCGATTTACAATGACTATTATTGATGTTATTATTTATTTTAGAAATTCAATATTATAATACTCACAGTAAACGCTCAGCGTTATCCTCTTGCTGACTGCGGGTGGTATACCGTTGCTGGCTATGCAGAAGTAAACGCCGGTCTGTCTTCTGTCAAGCCGCCAAAGTTTCAGGTCGTTACCGATATACGAATTGTCTGCCAACAAGACAACAACAATAACAATAATAATAATAATAATAATAATAATAATAATAATAATAATAATAATAATAATAATAGTAATAATAATAATGACATCCGTTTACCACCGCGGTAGTAGTATTAGCGGTATAGTGTGCCACCACACATACCACCACCACCAATGAGCATACTTTTCCCTGCTCGCAATACTACGAATACCTCTTTGCTGTCCTGCCGCACATGTATGACGGTCGTCCCACCGTCCTCCCGACAAACCCTTGTGCTCTCGGCGACGTTTTTACGAGCCGAATCTCTTGGGAACCATTTGCGCTGGAGGAAAGGAGCTGACGGGTTTTCCCTTTTTATTTTTGCTTTTTGGTTTTGACATGTTTAAGTGCACGCCGGTATTTTATACACCGCAAGGCCAGCGGTCAAAGACAGACGCAAAATCCAAGCTCCGAGGTAAAAAAATAACAAAAAATCATCTCCGGCAAAGGCCGCTTGGAAAAACATAAAACCAAACCTAACTTCTGTAATTCGTCGAAAATGTGTTTTATTTGTGATCAAAGTACCTAGTAGGTACTACAATTCATAGATCATGCGTAGTGTTTTTATTACTTGGTTTTTTTCTTTATTTTTTTAGACTATTAATGTTTATATAATCGATATCCAATCTATGATATTATGCGATGAAACTATTTGTATTTTATTTTTAAAACTAATTAATTCAAATTATTATAAAATGTATTGTTCCTACGACCTCTATTCCTACTCTCGAATTTTCTCATTTCATTCCTGTTTTAGTATTAGTAAAACACAAAATTACCCGAACAGGATTAAGAGATCGTTATATCTGCATGTGTTGTGTCCGTCTAACAAGAGCGTAACATATCAAATTTTGCGTTCAGCAGATCACGTTTAGCCGAGGTAGCTTAAAAATTAGAGTGAATTGACTTCTTATTAAAATTCAAGGTAAGATTATTACGGAGGGCTTCACCTTGGCTTTTTATTATATTTTAATTTTAAAGACAGTTATGAGTACTTAGTTATTGTAAATTGTTTGTACAATATAGCAGGCTGCTTACGAATAATGTTGAAAAAATATAAAAAAAAATCCGGAAAAAACTATGATCCGATATTGAAATTCCGAATTTAGGTTTCCCTAAAAAAGAGAGAAATTATTATAACACTAATACACCCATTTGTCGGTCTCGTTGTTGCTCAATTTCCAGCTTTTGTTTTAATTTTTCAAATTAACAATTTGTTGTGTGCAATTATATTATTTAAATTTTTTAAGTCTAGACAAAACTCTATTGTTATGTTTCATAAGAAAAATGAAAGCAATAAGTTTCTGTTTGACTCATGGCTTTGTTCTAGACATTTTAATTACGGGATTCGCGAAGTGTGTACCAGCGATGCTAATGTAGATTATACGTTGTTTTGTTTTTATATTGTGTAAAGATGAACTTAAATAAGCGTATAAAATAACTAGTCAGCCATAATAGCTGAATCAATATAAAAATATATCTATTATATTTCAGAATATTAATAATTCTAGTTGCCGTACTCCCGTACATAAACTATACCTAGGTAGTAAATAAAAACGTCTGTAATTGATATACCTATAATTTGTATTATTACGAATCGCATCAAGTAGGATTATTTCATGTCCGTTTTTTTTTTAAATTAATTTTTACCACGATTCAAAAGTGTAAGCCGGTGATAAAACGTGCTTTTAATTGTGTTTTGTTGTAAGACTTAATATTCAACCGTGGAGCGAAATTGAATTGATTTTTTTATGAAAACCTACGGGAGTGCATGATATTATAATACAATTGTGACGCTGAAGACCGTAATTCCTTCCGTTTCTAAAAAGAAAAAAAACCATGTTAATTCGGAACGCTCGGGAAAAGCGCTCTCGCGATAAGTTTTCCGCCTATGATACAGAGCATTACAATTAAAGTCTCGGCGGTAGTGGCGTAGGTACTGCGCGCTACTCAAAGCGACTTAAACGTACATAAAAATGTCCAAAGTTAACTTTTAAACGTAGTTTTATGGAGCTGCGCGCGAAGGTGAAATTTTAATATACTCACATGGTTGAGAGTTTTTAGAGCCGAAAGACATCAACCGTTGTTATCTATCACGCACTTACCGTCGGCTCCTTGGTATATATAAAACCACGCGAGCGGAAACCGTATATACGAGTAGATTTAGAAACTTTTACAAAGGGCCACAATAACAGTTTCGCACTACTTCCTCTGTGTTCGCTCGAAAAACCACTCGACGGTTGTAAACTAATATCGCGCAGGCGCTAGCGCGCATCTCATATAATGTACTCGGCAGTCTGCTTTTTCACTTTTTCTATAAACATCATACACATAGAATACAAACGGGTTTTGGCAGTAAGACAGCCGAGATCGGCATATGATCATAATTATATTACGTCGTCGACAATAAATGGTGGCCACCGGTTTTTTGCTTGCGATATAACGAATAGAGTTCGACCGATTGAAAAATAGTAGCTAAATGTCCGATAATCAGAAGTGACGGCAAAAAAATACAATAATATAACGTTTGATAATTTTGTCTTGGCGAACAATCGTTTTTGACGAACTCGCCGGGGAACATTTCGCCGTCGATCTCCGTTTTCGGGCGAATTTTTATGAATATATCAAAAGTTGGGTAGAAAAAAACACAAAAATGACTCGACATCGATTAAGGAGGACTCCTGCATAAAAAACTCGAGTAAAAAATGTCTAAAATATGATAATATTATTATTGATGTACCCATGATAGGTGACGTTTGTAACGAAAAACCTAATAATAATTTATATCGACAATCGTTAACGAAACGGATGCTATTATGTTTTTAGATTAGCTTATCTCGATCCAATAGTTTATACAATAGCTCAATGATGCTAACCTTTCTCGCCGGGCCAGGAACGTTATTACAGGTTTAGCCCGAAGTCATCGGTGGTCTAATGTGTGTTGAGAGTGAAAGTACGAAAGATTCATGCGTCAGATAATCGGTGGGAGGGAGAAGGGGTCTGTTATTATTGATTATTGTAAATAACCTTTATATAAACCTATAGTGAACATATTGTCGTATCGAATATATCTATTGTTTTAGCGAACCGGTGCCGCTACCGGGATGAAACGCAACACGACGGTATTAAACGAGAATTTCGTCGGAAAGTTTTCGCATTTATTTCGTCGCTTTTATTGACGTCACGTTCGGCTCAGTGATTTGTATGATTGTGAAAAAAAAAAAAAACAAACAAAGCACGGTTAAGTGGCCGAAATGTATTCCGATAACTCCTCCGCCACCGCCGCTGCCGCCGTTTGGGATTTGTTTGAATTTTTGATTTGTTTCGTTCCGCCAAGGTGGAATAATAGTAATAATAATAATAAAGAAAGCAAACCCGGCCCTACGTCTGCGGCGTCTCATTTTGCGATAACTACCTATAAAATATTTCGTACAAGTTTCCTTTTGTGCACCGCTAAAACATTAAATAAAACTTACAAATAGCGTACGTAATTTAAATGAATCTCTGGAATCGCCGAGAAATGCGCAAAGTAAAAAGTTTAAAACTATATAATAATTGTGGCGTAAAGTTCTGACGTCTGCCGCGTGTTAGTTTGTGTGTACTTACTCAAAATGTAATTGTAGACCTCGAGGACTTGCGCGCGTAACAGGTAACGGGATGACGTCGGGTCTTGGGCGTAAATTCACTTAGGAGGTGCAGTATTTTTTCTATTTTTTTCCGTTTTGTTTTGTTTCTGTTTTGTTGTTTCCATTCGTGTTGAACCCGTTTTATTCGTTCCTCGGTGGAGTTTAATGTCGGCGTCCGTCTTATAACGTTCGTACACGGAAGTCTTATAATAGCCGATTTTCGAGGTAGTGCGTGTGTGCTCCCCATTATCGTTTCACCTTGTTGGCCTTCACTAATCACCCATTTTTTTTTTTTTTTTGTTGATTAATTATTTTTATTTCGTATTTTTTGTTAGATTTAATTTAATTAAATGTGACACACGATCATCACTGATTTGGTGAGGTAAAATTTGAATGGTGACCTAATAATCTTATTAAGTATTCGTATTGTAAGTGGGATCGACGTAATTAATCAATAAGCGTGGGGGGAATTCTAAAAATTGTTTTAAAAATCCACGATAATTCCTTAATCAAATATTTATTTGAAAAAAATGTAGGGAGGGTCGACGAATGCACTTGGGTAATAGCTGGCGCTGAACTTCTAAATAGTGTGATCTATATTCACTTATAATATCTTTAGGAGATCACTTTAGTTGGATTAAAATACGAAACATGAACTATTGTTATGAATAATTATTTAGCATTTGTTTTGTGTATAAATTAATAAATAAATAAAATAATAGTGTGCAAAGGATGAGGATCGTATTTTAAATTTTTAAATGAAATGGAAGTAAATATTGGTTTTGATTCAATTTGAATGTCAGGATGACAAAATGTATATTTAAATATTTAATAATTTTAATTATAAACACTTTATACTGGTATATTTAAAAATAAATAACTATACATATTGAATATTGGTTCTAACATACAGCCCATTTATCTTGTAAAATGAGCGTGTAGAATATCAGTTAAATTGAATAATACATTATCAAATATATTAAAAACGAGTAGTTATTTTTTGGAAACGACTAATTGTATTTTTTTTTTTACATAATTTGTGATGGATTAATAATAACCATTTTCATGTAATTAACGATCAAAATCAACATCGTTCATAAAAGTCAAACAAACAACATAATTAAGCCTCGTTAAACACAAACAAAAACTTTAATCAGGAATGGGCAGTATTTAAAATAAAGTATTTCATATATATTTTGTATTTTTTAGTTTAAATAGATTTAAACACAGTAGTTTTTTTAAAATAAAATGCATTTCCGTGTTTTTTACGTATAGATTTAATGTTACCTATATTCAATGACATATTAATTTTAGTACGTAACTAACCTAAATCCGATTATGT